TATAATTACAGTAGTAGTTTCAAAAATCTTAATAAAGCACTAGTGTAACTGCTTAAAAAAAAAAAAAAAAAAAAAAAAAAAATGTTCTTTTGTTTTTTTAATTTTATAAATTTATATAATTATAAAAACTTATCTTGAATTTGCACTACTTAGTACTAGTTTGTATTTTTATATAACTAAAGTTATACAAATATTTTATAATCTGCCAATTATATTAGTACAACTATAGTTTTAGTATTTTATTTTAACTAATTAATACTATAATACAAATATGTTTTTTAAATTTTTGTTTTTAGTAAATTTTAAACTTATAACTTGTTATTAAAATAGATAACAACTTATTTATTTTATTAAGTTATTATATCTTTTTTAATTGTATTTATATTTTTTATATTTTATAAGTTTTAAATTTAATAAACTTATTTGCTAAAAGATAGTAATTTTAGTATAATGGTTAGATTGTTATTTTTCAAGCAGTAAGTTCAAAATTTAAATTCTATTAGCAATAGAATTTTGAAAAAATAATTTTATTTTGATAACTTGATTGAAATATTTGAAGTTATAATTCTATATTTCTAATTATACTAAGACTAACTTTAAAAGTATGCAATATTGTATAAATAAATTTAGAAAGTATATATTTTATAAGATCTATTTAAAAATTCCAATTAACAAGAAAATATAATCTTTAATAACATTATTTGTGAAAACCTTAATCTGAAGAAAAAAATCTAAAGTAAGTAACTTGTATATACAAATATCTTAGATAAAAAAATTTATCAATTTGACTATTAGTTAAATCATGCATAAAATTATATTATGCAAAGCTAATTAAATTAATAGTATAGAAAGATTTGCAAAAATATACAAGATACTGATTAAATTGTAAAAAAATATATTAGAATTATATAAATTTTACAAGAATATAGCAGTTTAAAGATTAATACTAATTGCAAATATTGGTCATAAATATAGCAAAATATCAGATTAGCTTGAAATTGTAATAACAAAAGACTTTGATAGTTTAATACAAGATCAAAGGTTTTTTATATAAGTAAACTGCTTTAAAGACTTAGTAATAATAGTATATTTATATTGTTAAAAACTAAGACAGTTTGTAAAAAGATAAGTAGATAGATACAAGAACCAAAATATTTAAATAAATAATTTATAAGCAGTTTCTAGATATGACAACTAGTATAGAACTTTCAGATGAACTACTTAAATTAGACAATAATTAAAGTTGTACAAATGACTAGTTGTTTTCTGTAACTGTTGTAATGCAATTACAAAGCTAAAACATACTATCAATAAAAGTCTAAGTTATAAGTACTTACTTTAATATTAAAAAAAAAACTTGTTTGCTTATTTGTTTTTTTAAAGTTTTGTAAAGATTCTTTTTTTAATGCTAAAAAATAATTCTTTTAATTTAAAAAGTTGATTTTTTTTGTTTTTTATTTAAACTACTATAACTTATTTTAAATATTTTATTAAATGTTTTTAGTACTTATTTGTTAAAATTAAATGTTTTAAAAATTTTTTAATAATTCTTTATTTTTTGTTTTCAAAATTTATATATTCAATTATTGTAAACCATTAGACTTGTCATAAATAAATATAATTAACTAAATTATATTTCTTATAGATATAATATATTATACAAAACTTAATTTGAACCAATTAAATTAATTTATATTACTTGTCAAATACAATATCTTATAAATATATAACCTTTTAAATATCAATTATTAAAATAACAAGTTATCAGATTTAAATTATAAAACAAATATAGTGAATCAATTTTTTATCAATTATAGCAGATAGAATTGGTTTTGAGAAAGTGTACTGCATATGAAATTATATAATCATGTACATGAAAACAAAATTTGATTGGTTAAATAAATAAACCAGTCGTACATATGACTGTAATCATCTGACTTGTGCTTTTTTTGAATTTTATTAGCCAATAACTTAAAATTCATACAATTCACATAATTTATGATTTGTCGCAATCTTCGCAGAATAATCCTGGACATTAATCCTGGAGTAGTTAATGACCAAACCACTGATAACGGAACCTTCGAACCGGCACGAAACTGACCCCAAGTCGATATGTATTCACTTTTTTTTTTCTTAATTTCAGATTATTATCTACATACAACATAATGCGAGCATCAACTTTCACCAAAGAACCGATTTTTAATGACAATAACGATAAGTATAGTCATTATTAATTAATTGAAAATTTAAAATAACCATTTATCTCATCAATTAAGCAATTAATTAAATTATACCTATCTGTTTCATGCGCTCATTCGCACGATATTATATTATCTGCATGCTCGATTAGAATTAATGACAGGACTTTTGAATCTAACCGGATTACTTCTGGCATATTATTACATAGTCATCGTATTGTTGAATTCTGTCAACTTGAATATATTTAATTACAAATTCTTGAAAAATATATGACATATAAATTTGTGTTATAAACATTTTTAATAGTGGTTTATGATGTAGGTTTTTTTATAATGGCTTATTATATTACAGTTTACTATAACAGTTTGTTGTATAACAAATTTGTTATATTCATACTCTATAATCATACCCTTCAGGATAGTGCTTATGAAAAAGATTTTTATTAAGATGAGCTTATAAAGAGGGGGGTTTTTTTTAATACATTTATAGATAAATGGATTTTAAATAGATATGCTTATAAAGAGGATTTTTTGTATGATGAGCTTATAACAAATGTGACTATAGAAAGGTCTGATAGTATTTTAATAATCTTAAAACATTTTATAATAATTGTTTTGTAATGAATATGTAAATGGTTGTATAATGGTTTTGAATAATCGAATTAATTCAAATTCATACTTAATACGAATTGATTCCTCTAATCATGATGCATTGGATGAAAATAATCCATGGAATATGGTAACGGAACGGAACTCATAATGGAATTTCCATCGTTATTGTAATCGGAAGGTTGTAATCTAAGCGGACAATTTTGATCCACCAGAACGTCGTATGTTAAAGGATAAGTGGGAGAACCCGAAGTCGAAACTTGATAAAATTGAAAAGAATCGGGATGGGAAACAAAAGGAATTTGATCAATAGAAGAATCGGAACGAGGTTGTAACATTTGTTGAGGTATGAAATGTTGAATAGTAGTATCTCCGAATGATAAATAAGTTAATTGTTGCGATTGCATAAAAGTTGCCGGATAAGAATCGGAATTCGGGGAAAGATCGTTAAGAGTAAACTGTGGAGTAACGTTAAAATGAGGGAGTTGTTGACCGGATAAATTTGAATGAGGAAGAGTATCGGGGAGTTTCGAAGGGTAAGTAGAAGCCCATAATGGTAAAGTGGGAGTACAAGGCGACGAAGGAGTACTCGAAGAAGGGCTTGGAGAGGAATCAATAGAATCGAGATTCATTTTTTCTGGAGAAACGATATCGAAATTTTTATCATTATCTTGAGAATGCGATTGTTTTCTATGCGGTTTATAGACATAACCAGGGTTAATTTCGCCATGTTCAGTTTTTGCAATATTGGAAAGTCTCGTAAAGACCTCTTTAACTTCGACGCTAGATTTTCTCCAAACTTCACTAGCGATCCCGGAAACGATAGGAACCTGAAGTTTAAAGGTGTCCACAGCACCTTGGAACATGGTTCGAAAGATAAAAAATTTATTTGGAGGTCTAGCGGGTTTATCGGAAGATTTTGCTTTTTTATAAAAAAAACGATCGCGGACTTCTTTCGAAGTAGGTACGGGAAAATCTATCTGGACGCCATCATTTAATTTTACGACGACTTTTAAACGTTCACCTCTGGCGTCTAAGTGAGCTTGAATAACATTACCATTGCTAAGGACACGTCCATTAGCGGAATTTTTTGGTTGTTGATCATGATTGTCCTTTTGCTGTTTTGTTGTTTGTGTCATAGCTGAAATATTTTGATTTATTTGTTTGATTATTAATTTTATTTATTAGAAAATAGACAAGAAAAAAATCAGTAACGACGAAACGAATAAACTTTTTAAATCTCCAAGTATGCACTGAATGCAACTACCAGAGTTGATTCTGAAAGACTATATATTTTTTTTTTCTTGTTCAATCGTAATCGTTTTGGACATTTATATATATATATATATTTATATTTAAATCCTATTGTATCTAATCGAACTAAGATGAAGAGCTAACATGACAGGAGTACAGAAATCCTGCGTGTTTTCTTTTTGACGTGAATTACTTCAGGTTACTTCAGGGTAGCTGAAGTTGAAAAAAAAATGAAATGTGCATACGACAAAAACAAAGCTTGAAACCCAATTTTTAAATATAAATATATAAATATATAAATATATATATAAATAAATATATATATATATATAAAAAGAAAGAAAACAAGGAAGTTGCTATTGTTTTGATTGCCTTGAACATATTTTCGCGATTGGGTGTAATGTTTCCATATTTATATTGCTATTGAACCTAACCAAACGCATTTATTTGGTTGGGTTTTACTAACAAATCAATCACAAGGGGGAGGGGAGAGGGAGGAGGGGACACTACATATGAACTTTGAATCTTACCTTACATATTTAACGAGAAGAATATGTAATAAATTTGATGGAAAACCGAGAGGTTAACGAAGAGATAGGAGTAAACCGTGAATTAAGATGGATATTTATCAGTTTCTAACATGTGCATGTTTCACATTTACGTCTTCGAGCCAAGAAAGAAAATAATGCTTTTCTCCGGATCATTTGGAAAGATCAGGTTTTTTTTTCATGACAGGTTAAATGAAAAAGAAATAATACTGATTGCAGAACAGGGAAGTTCATTGTTTGCTAGATCAGAGGACTATGCTATCCTCCTTTGTTTGCATATTGTAGACACTAAAATGGTAAAAACTAATTTATTACGAACATTTATTGATGCGTATACTATGATTTGTTTTTTCTATGAAACCAATTGACTCAATTGCATAATTGTTGACTAATTTTAATCATTTACGTATTGACACATAATTTGAATAGGATCGAATTCGAAATAGTGTGAAATACAGAAATAAATACAGAAATAGTATGAAGAATTAAACGTCACTGGGAGTGAAAAAATTAGTCAAATTCGCTAATTGACACCATTTAGGTAATAATGTACGTACGTACTTATGTACGTACGTATTGGTATGTAAGTATAGTATGTACGTACATACGTAGGTACGTACATTGCTTGAAGGCGAGTAAATTTTTTTGTAACTCAAAACCATTTATAGACATTGTGATATTAAAAAAAGGACGAGCATACCCTCGCATCATCCTTGGAACACAAAGACGTTTTAAGATTTGTTTCGTTATTAAAAAGTAATAATAGTGATAATAAATTTGCACTGGTTTAAAAGAATAAACTATTTTTCGGGATCGTGGATCACGGAGTTAAACAGGTTTTAAACATTTCAATCGAAAATTCTATACTAAATTTATATATTCTATATATTTAATGACAATAAAGTTTTATTAATTTAAATTAAGCACTATTTAACGTATATTGATATATATAGATATACTTAACGTTGATAAATTAATTAATATACATATATATAAATATATCTATTAATTAACTATATATATTAATTATATTTGTACACACGTACGTATGCGTATATTTAATTTAATTTATTTAACAAGTACGTACGTATCGGCAAAGCAATCGGCACAGCGTTGGCACTTAAAATATATTAAATATACTTATATTTATCATTTATCATGAACACAGCCTAAACGTTCTAATTACTAATTATTTTCTCATGATTACTGGTTGGATTAAAAATATCTATTGTCATATCGGTCATATCAGATAATATTGATTAAACATCTATCTATCGCTATCATTCGTTTTATATAACCCGTGTAACTACTGTTGTTGGGTTAGTGTTTCGAAAAACTTAAAATATTCGTATCACATGAAGATTATCCAAAATGATTGGAGATCAGATAAAATTTGCGATTGCGCTATATGCGGTTTGAGAAACTGGTATCGTACATATCGTACGTACATATGTACATATCGGTATTTATTGTATCATTTATTCATTTTCATATTTATTTATTTACCATACGTATTTATTTATCGTATTTATTTATCGCTATCTATCTTTTATTTTATTTATTTTATTGGCTTTCTATAAATTTGTTGCACTCGCGTACGTGTACGTGTACATACGTACGTACGTACGTACATATGTTTAGGAGATCATCCCACTTTCTGATTCTTTTGATCCTTTTGACACTTTTGATTCTTCTGATTATCACCGATTGAATTTTTAAAAATTTTTTAGTATAGCCGTGGGAAGTTTCAATTGAGTCAGCCCATTGATAAATCACACACGTGATCTACGTTCCCTGTCACATTCATTGTTGGCCTCTTGATATATGTTAACATTAATGTTTTAGTTTACTCCTTGACAAACGATATGTAACGGTGAGGTAAGCTTTTTTGCTTTTTTTTTTTTGATCTTAAACCTTTATATCAAAAAAGAACTTTTATATCAAAACAAAGAGCCTGATTGTCATGATACTGTATTTGAAAACTACATATACATTGCTGTCTATAAAAGGTTTCCCTTAAAAAAAAACAATTTTTTTTTAAATTCTCACACAACCTTAATTACGTACCAGTAAGTCTTTTTTCGTAGAATTAATTAGAATTCATTTGATATTTTAATCCATGCCTTACCAAACTTTATCATGAATGCGGGATATTTTTTTTCTTATAAAAAAAAAAAAACACATATATACATCATATGGAATCTGTCATCCATATGTACGTGAAGTTATAATGTAAAAAGAACTTTTTTGGGTAATTCTTTTTAACCCGCTTGTTAATTAATTTTATCACACGATAAAATTGATAAAATTACAATATATGCAAATTATGGAAATTATGGTAATTATGGAAATTATGGTAATTAATCTTTTATATAAAGATAATAAAGTTTTCTATGTCCGTACGTTTGTACATATGTTTATATGTTTATGTAAACTATATCGATATCGATATCGAATGATCATTGCTTATTGCTCAGTAAATTCTGCGAATGTGAATGGTTAGTAACGGTAATACGGTCTTCATCCACAAGATCATTCTTCATATTTGTACAATATGCTTGAAAATCAAGATTATTTAACGTTAATCAATGCGATTTAATGTTATTGTCCATTTTTTATTTTATAGATATTTTATAGATTTTATAGTTATAGATTATATTATAATCAATTTCAATAAAACAAGTAAACAAACGGTTATTTTAACCGCCTTTTTTTTTAGATTGATCGGAGATTAAAGATAATCAGATCGGTGGGCAGTTTGATTTTATTGCGAACTACTAAATGAACAATATGATAAAATTATTTGTCTTAGTGGTCTTAGTTAAGTATTTAAGCGTCCGAATTGAACGTTAGGTTGGTTTTTAAAATTAAATCAAATTTCTAAACATATTATAATATCAATATCAATACTGATAAAAAAAATAAAAATGTCTCCGATAAAAGGTCGAGTTCTTCTTGCTTATTCTGGTGGTCTAGATACCTCTTGCATTCTCGCATGGTTGTTGGAGCAACGCTATGAAGTCATAGCGTATATGGCAAACGTTGGCCAAGAAGAGGACTTCGAGGCCGCGAAAGAAAAAGCCTTGAATATTGGCGCAACCAAGGTTTACATCGAGGTAAATTTTATTTATTTTTTTGACTTTTTATTAATATCTTTTATATTAATCTCTTTTACTTGCTAATAGGATTTACGTCGTGAATTCGTTGAAGAATTGATTTTCCCCGCTATCCAAGCCAATGCTATTTATGAAAATGTCTATCTCTTGGGTACCTCGCTTTCACGACCGATCATAGCTAAAAGTCAGGTAATTATTTTATTTACTTTCAATATCTTAAACGCTAAATTATTTTATATACATGTTGTTTAAATAATTTATTTATATTTGTTAGATCGAGATTGCCATTAGGGAAAACTGCAAATTTGTCTCTCATGGTTGTACCGGAAAGGGTAACGACCAAGTTCGTTTTGAACTTGCATACTACGCGTTAAAACCCGATATCGAGGTGATCAGCCCCTGGAGAATCCCTGGTAATATTTTGTTGATTTATTTATTTTATTTTATTTTTTTTAAAAAAAAGAAAGTTAAATTTTATTTATTAATTATCATTTAAACAATTCCACAGAATTTTATGAACGCTTTCCTGGTCGTCAAGCACTCTTAGCCTATGCTGCTGAGAAGAACATTCCTGTTGTTCAAACGGTCAAAAAACCCTGGTCCACAGATGAAAATTTGTTAGTAATCAATTTTCTTTCTCAATTCTTTTATGTCAATGTTTTCAAATTTAATTTCGATCCTAATCATATCTATTCTAATTTTCTTTAATTAGGTTCCATATCTCTTATGAAGCTGGAATACTAGAAGATCCTTATTGTACCCCTCCTAAGGATATGTGGAAATTGACCGTGGATCCTGAAGATGCTCCCAACGTTCCTGAACGAATTTCAATTTCATTTGAAAAAGGAATACCTCAAAAAGTTGTAAACCATGGTGATGGTACAACTATTACCGACCCTCTCGAATTGTTCATTTATTTGAATACTGTCGCTAGACGCAATGGGATCGGCAGAATTGACATCGTTGAAAATCGTTTCATTGGAATCAAGAGTCGGGGTTGTTATGAAACTCCCGGTGGCACAATTTTGCGAGCTGCTCACATCGATTTAGAAGGTTTAGTTCTTGATCGACAAGTGAGAGCTATGAGGGATCAATTTATTACCCCTCAATTTTCTCAAATTTTATATAACGGGCAATACTTTTCTCCAGAAAGAGAGTTCCTTCTCGCATCCCTTTTGGAAAGTCAAAAAACCGTTAACGGTGAAGTAAAATTAAAACTATATAAAGGGAATGTGGTCGTTGAAGGCCGAAGATCCGACACAGTCAAATTGTATGATATGGAAGAAAGTTCAATGGATGTTCAAGGCGATTTTAGTCCTGTCGATTCTGAAGGGTTTATCAAAATTCTTGGAATAAGACTGAAAAAATGGGGAAAGAGTTCCCTCTAGATAGAAATAATTCATAATTATTAATTATTAATAGAAAAAAAAAAAAAATGTTTTTATGTTCTTTTATGTGTAATATTATAATAATAATAAAAAAAGAAAAATTATTAATAAAAATGTTTCTTATTGTAATAGAATTAAATTACTTTGAAGTGGATTTTTTTTTTTCGTTCTAAATATGTATTGTATAAGAACTATAAATCGCTAATGAAAAAAGTCTTGTGTTGTACGAATTTATGTCGTACCACGGAATTTATAATATAAACCGGGAATGGTAAGGCCCGTCAAATCTTAAATCGATTATAAAAGTTTTTTTTAAGATAAATTGTTGGCATAAATAAAACTTTCCTTTAATAACATAAATAACAAACAATAATGTGGTTTAGCAAGCATTCATATTTATTCGGAGTTTCGTCGTCTTTACGATCCGCACTAAAAGCATATATTATACTGCTTTGGAAATCAAAAATAGTTAAAAATGTGTTACTATTATATGTAATGTTTTCCATGTTCTTTTTACCGATGCGACTTTTTGCATGTTTCTTTGCAACTGAAATACAAGGGTCATCAGTAAATTTAATGTTAAATGCTATTCCGAGAACTTATGGTAACTTTTTTTTCTTTCTTTTTTTTTTTGTTTTGATATTAATTAATTATATTGACGTTGTTTATAATGTTGAGTTCACAGACACGAACTCAAGTTCTCCACTATCAGAGATGAATCAAGCCATTCGATTTTCAAAAATGCATAATTCTTCTCCACGATCATTAACTGATCACATATATCCTTATTACTTTCGCGCCAAGTTTGTGCCTGATAATCCTGATGTGACTGTTGCTGCTTACATCACACAGGATCGATTAGATGATTTAGTAAGATTGGTTGACATGTGGAAAGGTACATTTTTATATATTTTTATGTATGTTTTAAAATTTTTTTTAAAAAAATTTCATTTGGTTTATATTTATCATATATATATTATTATTTTTATTAATTTTTTTTATTAAAATTTTCAGGTCCAATATCTGCTACTTTACATCTTCCTTCAAAATTAAAAAAATATCACAATGATAACATTATAAGAAACGTTTTAAATTCTATTGAAAATATTTACAAAAATAATTCAAATGTTGCAATGTATGTTGACATACATCTTATAATGGGCCCATATAGTACAGTAAACGAGACGTTATGGCCTTCACAAATTAATATTCATATGAACACTGTACGATTCTTTGCTCGTACCGAATTCGTTTTTTTTCTTGATTTGGATACTTGGCCAATGTCTGGCTTACGTTCAAGAATCCTGAATCATGTTGATTTACTCTTAAATAATGATGTTCTGATATTACCATCTTTTATTTTCTCTAATGATGCTAAAGATTTTGAGTTTCCACAAGAAAAACGAGATGTAAAAAGATTAGTACGAAGTCGTTTGTTGGGATTAAAAGATAAAGGTTGGGAACTTAATAATGGTCCAACTTGTTTAAGTAAATGGATGAATAATGATGAATTATACAAAGTAGAAGATTATGACTTACATTATATTCCAAATTTTGTTATAAGAAAAAGTGGTAAAATACCTTGGTAAGTTTTATTAAAAAGTTTTATTTTTTTTTTTTTGTTGTAAAGTTTATTTTTCAGACTGGACATTTCTCCGATTGGATAGAATGTTTCTTAATACAATTTAATAGTCATCCACTTATCTTGTATTAGAACTGATTATTAGGAACCCTATCGGTAAAATGTCCGAATCCGATTATTATTACGATTATTATTATCATTATGATTATTATTATTATCGTTATGATTATTATCGTTATGATTATTATCATTATGATTATTATTATTATTATTATTATTATTATTATTATTATTATTATTATTATTATTATTATTATTATTATTGTTGAAATTAAATACTTGTTGTTTAACAGGTGTACAGAACGTTTTGAAAATAATAAGGCAGCCTGCCTGTTCCAAATATATCTAAGTGGGTCAGAATTGTGGGTTGCTCCAGAAGATTTTTTGATTATACATCAATATAATCCGGGGTCTCATGTTTCTAGATATGCAGATTCAAGATGGCAGGTTTGTATACTCATTATCTTATTTATTTCAAGATTTATTTTTAATATATTTTTAATTTATTTTAATCTTTAAAAAATTGTAGAAAGTAATTAACAATCGCATGTATGTAACTTATTCCTGGGAAGCATGTCTTCAATATGCTCGACAATTCTCCTCTATAGGAAAATGGGAATCACCAATTTCTGATCATGTTAAACAAGAATGTGACCGAATTTTGACAAGCTGGGGTGTTGGAATAATTTCATTTGATCGCCCTGTATGATAATTATAATTTATGTGATACCTCTTTATATAAAATGCGGATCAAGAAAAAAATAATAATAATAATAAATTATATGACCTACAAAATAATAATAATTGATTGCACTTATAAGATTACTTAAGGCTTTATTTTTATTATTCATATATGGTCATATAATTAGGATTGTACATTTGTAATTTTAAAAGTATATTCTTTATATCCATTGATTTTGATCAAGTTATGATTTAATTGGAGAACTGGCTCAAACCCATGGTCAATTTTAATATACGATTCAACCGAGTTAAATTCTTTATTACCTGTATTTAACCTATATATATACAATCGGAAACTTTTTAAGTGCACCCTCCTAAGTGACATCTAAGTAAATACATATTTTAGCTTAGTTCTAAGCTTGGAATTTCGTGTTAAGTTCATACCATCTGCACTAGAAATAATTTAAGTCCATTTATATATTACTACTGTATATGATTCGGTATAAAAATATTTATAAATATTTGAATATATTATAATTTTATATTTAAATTAATTAATAATGTTGGTGAAACTGGTGGTTATCTAAATCTGATCGGCTGCTATATTAAATTTCACCAGTTTCACTAGCATTTATAGTCAATTGGAATGTCATAGGCAGACTACATAGGCAAAAGTTGGTTTGATTGGTTGATGCAAATCAATTACCCGGTTAACTTATTTATCTACTTTAAAGTACTCTTTGAGAACATAACGTTTCATCGATAAAAAGACAAAATTTTTACATAAAGTAACCGGAGGTATAATGTCGCGGTTAAGAATAGTTATTAGTAAAAGTTTTCAAAAAAAAAGATATTATTTATAAAATTTATAAAACTTATACTCCATCCAATGTACTTTAAATTAATTATAAAAAAGAAGGATTTTGCCAATAAATTTTACATTATTTTATTATCTGTTTAGAAACATCAGGCAATTAAAATTTTATATTTGAAGGTAATGTGGCAGATTATCCTTAGTGATAATTTAACCTAACATTATTCAACATCATCTAGCCTAACCAAAAATCAGCAAAATCATTATACAAATTGTTCAATAGTAATATTTTCAGACATCTTATTTTTTTTTTAGTTCTTTTATTTGTTACTTGCTTTGGTGGTTTTTTTTTAATTCATGTTTAGTTATTTTTTAAACAGTTAATTTTCTTTTTTGTTAAATTATTTGTTTTTTCAAAGTTTTTGATAATTTTTTTTTTTTTTGAACTTTGGCGACAATGCCAGTTGGTTTTTATTAGCCTTAATTTGATATAGTACAAATTTATA